TATGCAGCCACTTATCACAGTAAATTTTCTTACCGATGGTTCAAAAGGAGAAACGTTGCTCAGAAGAACTACTGTATTTTTACGGGCACATTTTACCTCTCGACTGCTGCCTCTCTCTTTTATCATAGAATCATTTAGGTTGGAAAAGACCTTTAAGATCATCAGTCCAACTGTAAGCCTAACACTACCAAGTCCACCACTAAACCATGTCCCTAAGCACCACATCTACCCGTCTTTTAAATACCTCCAGGGATGAGAACTCGACCACTTCCCTGGGCAGCCTGTTCCGATGCTTGATAACCCATTCAGTGAAGAAATTGTTCCTAATATCCAACCCAAACCTCCCCTGGTGCAACTTGAGGCCATTTCGTCTTGTCCTGTCACTTGTTACCTGGGAAAAGAGACCGACCTCTACCTTGCTACAACCTCCTTTCAGGTAGTTGTAGAGAGCGAGGTCTCCTCTGAGCTTCCTTTTCTCTGGGCTAAACAACCCCAGTTCCCTCAGACGCTTCTCACAGGACTTGTTCTCTAGACCCTTCACCTGCTTCATTGCCTTTCTTTGGACACACTCCAGCACCTCAATGGCCTTCTTGTAGTGAAGGGCCCAAAGCTAAACACAGGACTCGAGGTGCAGCCTCACCAGTGCCCAGTACAGGGGCACTATCACCTCCCTAGTCCTGCTGGCCACACTATTTGTGATACAAGCCAGGATGCTTCTTGGCCACCTGGGCACCCTGCTGGTTCATGTTCAGTCAACTGTCGACCAACATACCCACGTCCTTTTCCCCCAGGCAGCTCTCCAGTCAGTCTTTCCCAAGCCTGTAGTGTTGCCTGGGGTTCTTGTGACCCAAGTGCAGGACCCAGCCTTGTTGAACCTCATACAGCTGGCTTTGGTCCATCGATCCAGCCTTTCCAGATCCCTCTGTAGGGCCTTCCTACCCTCCAGCAGATCAACACTCCCACCGAACTTGGTGTCGTCGCCAAACTTACTGATGGTGCACTCAATCCCCTCCTCCACATCATTGAAAAAGATACTAAACAGGACCAGCCCCAGTACTGAGCCCTGGGGAACACCACTTGTGACCGGCCACCAACTGGATTGAACTCCATTCACCACAACCCGTTGGGTCTGGCCATCCAGCCAGTTTTTCACCCAGCAATTACTATGCCCACCCAAGCCATGAGCAGCCAGTTTCTCCAGGAGAATGCTGTGGGAAATGGTGTCAAAGGCCTTACTAAAGCCCAGGTAGACAACATCCACAGCCTTTCCCTCATCCACTAAATGTATCACCTTGTCATAGAAGGAGACCAGGTTAGTCAAGCAGGACCTGCCTTTCATAAACCCACGCTGACTGGGCCCGATCGCCTGGTTGTCCTGTGATGACCTGTGATGGCACTCAAGATGATCTGCTCCATAACCTTCCCCAGCACCGAGGTCAGGCTGACAGGCCTGTAGTTTCCTGAGTCCTCCTTCCGGCCCTTCTTCTCGATGGGTGTCACATTTGCTAACCTCCAGTCAGCTGGGACCTCCCTGGTTAGCCAGGACTGCTGATGAATGATTGAAAGTGGCTTGGTGAGCCACGCTATTTCTGATACACGCCAGGATGCTACTGGCCTTCTTGGCCACCTGGGCACCTTGCTGGCTCATATTCAGCTGGCTGCCATAGTGTCTCTGTGGCCTCCTGTGGCCACTCACAGAGTCTGGGAGGCACCTCAGCCCTGCGATGTATCACCCTATTCTGTACCTGTCTGAGATGCCCCAAGGCATGAGGAATGGACACGGGGACCTCGGTTCAAGGAAGCACAACCCAGTGCTGCATTCAGGTGGTTTCCCAGGGAATGTTACTCTCAATGTGAAGTGACCTTGAGACACAGTCTATCCTGCAAGCCTTCGCGGCACCCCTAGAAATAGCTGCTGGCATTTGTTCTCACTCGGGTTCATCTCACCACATGTACATAATGTGCATGCTTATGTCTTATCTCACAGAATTACAGAATGGTTTAAGTTGGAAGGGGCCCTTAAAGATCATCTAGTCTAACTCTTGTGCTGTAGGCATGGACAGCTTTCACTAGGCCTGATAGCTTAAAGCCCCATCTAACCTGACCTTGAACACTTCCAATGATGGGGCATCCACAACTTCTTGGGGAAACCTGTTCCAGTCTCTCAGCACCCTCAGTGTAAAACATCCCTTCATTATGTCCAACCTACCTAAGTCTCCACTCTTTCAGTTTAAAACCACTGCCTCTTGTCTTGTCACTACAGGCCCTGGCAAAATTCTCTCTCCATCTTTTCTATAAGCCCCCTTTATATATTGAAAGGCTGCAATAAAGTCTCCCCAGAGCCTTCTCTTCTCCAGGCTGAACAACCCCAACTCTTTCAGCATTTCTTTGTAGCAGAGATGTTCCAGCCCACAGATCATTTTCAAGGCCCTCCTCTGGAACCACTCTAACAAGCCCATGTCTCTCTTGTGCTGAGGACTGCAGAGCTGGATGCAACACAACCATGCACTTGACCTTGTTGAACTTCATGAAGTTTGCGTGGGCCCACTCCTCAAGCCTGTCAAGGTCCCTCTCTGAATTACATCCCTTCCCTCTAGAGAATCAACTGCAGCTCTCAGGCTGGTGTCCTCTGCAAACTTGCTGAGGGTGCACTCAATCCCACTATGTCGTTGATGAAGATGTTAAATAGCATTGGTCCCAGTACGGACGCTTGAAGGCCACCACTCGTTACTGGTTTCCACTTGGGCATTGAGTCATTCACAGCAACTCTTTGGACGTGGCCATCCAGCCAATTCCTCATCCATCTAACCCTCCATCCCTAAAACCCATACCTCTCCAGTTTAGTGGCAAGAATGGTAGGGGAGACTGTATGAAAGGCCTTACAGAATTCTTAGCAGATGACATCTGTAGCTCTCCACTTGCCCACTGATGCAGTTACTCCATCATAGAAGGACACTAGTTTAGCCAGGCACGATTTGCCCTTGGTGAAACCATGTTGGTTCTCCAATCATCCCTCTGCCTTCCATATGTTTCGACATGGTTCCCAGGAGGTTCTGCTCCATGATCTTACCTCTGTACAAGGCAAACATAGACTTCTGACTTAGTCATGTGATGTCCTTCTGTGGAGGGACAAACTACCTGTCTGAGCTGGGGTGAGAGGCTGGTGCTGGAAATGGTGGTTATTATTGGCTGGTCTGTGATGGCTGCCTTGGAGCAGCTTCCCCGGGGTGTTCAGAGAACGTGGGCACAGACCAGACCATGCTCTCCTGGTCCTTTGTATCTGTTCCAGAAGGCCTGGCTGTGCAAGGACACTGCCACATGCCCCCACCCGGCACACTCACACACTTTAGCTGTTCACTGGTGTTTTCCTCTCCTGGCACTTTCTTGGGCATGTTCCTGAGAGCAACTCTGAAAGAAGACCTAAGCTTCAGGCACTACCGTCAGGAGATCCCCTTGTATGATGGAAATGTTGCTACGGAGACCAGCTCTGTCACAGAGGCGCCCATTGTCTGTCCCTGCCTGCAGTCACAGGACTGCCACACAGCATTACTGTGACCAAGCTGCAAGAGTAACCCTTCCTTCACCAACAGAGGGGCTCAGAAAGAGAGCATGGAAGTAAAAAGAGAGCAGCTCTGGAAAGACGAAGTGCTGGTGTTCCCTGGCAGGACTGCTGTAATGGGACTGTTTTCCCCTCCACTTCTGCACACAGGCACTGCCACTGCAGCACCAGAGAGCTCTCAGAGGAAGGATCTTGGACAAACAATTGGCCGCAGGATCCTTTATTATTTTTTAAAGCAGAGAGAACATGACTCTCATTTACACAGTCTCTGGGCAACGCTACACAGGTACATACCAAGTCAGAAGTGGGATAAAGAATGACATTTCTTTGTGCAAAATATTGTCACAAGGAAAAGACAGCAAAAAATGCTCTCCCACCACAAACTACAGAAGGCAGGCTGGGCCTATGATGAGTTACATTATGAGAGACCTGCATAACAAAATGGACAGGTTATTTCTTCAGAAAAAATCCCAGTCATCAGTTTCCACATTGCATCCTTGAGCTCCTGGTTCCTCATGCTGTAGATGAGGGGGTTCACTGCTGGAGGCACCACCGAGTAAAGAACTGCCAGCATCAGGTCCAGGGATGGAGAGGAAAAGGAGGGGGGCTTCAGGTAGGCAAATATGGCAGTGATGACAAACAGGGAGACCACGGCCAGGTGAGGGAGGCACATGGAAGAGGCTTTGTGCCGTCCCTGCTCAGAGGGGATCCTCAGCACGGCCCTGAAGATCTGCACATAGGATGCCACAAGGAAAACAAA